ATCAGCCTTACTGTATACTAAATGAAAAGAATTCATCTTTGACGGCAATATATCACGCACAAATTTTCTGTTTGTATTCACCATTTAATCTATAGAATTATTTTTTTTTTTATAGAAGTTCCATTTGTCTAATAACAGTAAACATCAATATAAAAAGACTTTGATTCGACACGTCAATTTTATAAGTAAAACGCTTTATGTTAGATTAAGTGAAATCAAATTAATTTCTCGAATATTTTATTCTTATATGTTATAAACAGAGAAACATATTTTTAGGGCCAATTTCAAAATGATACAATGTTTTCGAAAAAAATAAGAAAAGATTTCTCAGGATCGAAGCAAATCAACACATCATATGTAACTTTATTTAGAACTGATGAATTCAAATAGATCTGTAAAATGTTATTGAAGGTCGGCAGCAAATCTATATTACATTTTTACATGAATAATGTAATTCTATGATTTGAGTTATAATCAATGTCGTTAAAGTTTCTGCTCTCACATAAGAATATATATTGAAAAAGTAAGTCATCTATAATTCTACGATGATAGAATATCATGAGAAAAATATGAATGATTACTGTTTGTGTTAGAAAAGTATCATATAGCAACTCTTGTGTAGAGTATGCTGATTTAAAATCGTCAACGGTAAGATATCAAGCTGACAGCACTGCATCGTATAACGAAATATATTTCAATTAAGACCAACAATAATCTTATATGCAAAGTTAGACTGTTCTCAGGCAGATAAACACTTAAAAAAACGTGTTGAAATTTCAACGCAAATAAAAATCGTTCTCTATAGGATACACTCAATTAAAAAACTGAAGGTTTAATAACATATAAAGATATAGAATAAAAAGTATTCTATCATTCAGAAGCTCATCTAACTACCACACGTTCTGTAAAAGTAACATATATAAAGAATGTTACATGAACTTCAGGCTATGTTCAGTTTTTTTTTTTATTTTTCGAATATATGAAGTTGGACAGATACAGATTTGTAGCATCTGAACTATCATTCAAAATTGACTGTACTCAAATGACATCATTTTTAAGAAAGTGTATTATTAGGAAACATGCTAAAATACATATATATCAAAATTTACTACTCTTGTTCTTGTGAAAGTGCGAAAAATATTACTCACATAGCCACTATGAATCATTTTTATTATTTTATTGTGAATGATAACTTGAATGTTACTTTTAAACATATATCTTTTATATGTGTTCAATTTTGTATATTCAAAAAATACAAAAAACCTTAGACACTTGGTTAAGTTACCAATCTATCATCTGTATTAACTGTTAACGGTCCATACGGAAAGAAAATGTAATCAGTTGCCGAAAAATATGTTAAACTATCCATGAGTAGACATGAAAATAGTGCGAAGAAAGTTTTGATTACTATTATGATTGAAAGAGAAAAATGATTGTGCACCAAAAATAAATAATTGAATGGACAGTTCTTCTGAATGAAGGAAAAGGTTAAGAGAAATAATATGAAAATCAACGAAATAAAACTCAAGATAAAAAAACGCAAAAATAGGTCTATAAATGATTGGATCAATAAAATAGCCTTTGGTGAACTGAAAATATACTCCGAGGATGACAATATTAAAATTATTTAGAATCAATCTGTTTCATAGACTGATTTATTCTAAAGCGATGATGATTAATGACACTTTAAAGCATATTGTCAACTGATATCGAACAAATAAAAGTCATAAAACGCGTCTTTTTTTATTTCAATATCTTCATCATAAAACTTTTATTTTTATTTGCTTCTCTGATACGGACATGTATATCTTAAGTATAATTGTAAAGTTCTTTTACAATGCATTGCAAAACAAGTTAGAAAGTCATGTAACTAGTTGAAAATATCAACTAATATGTGCAGTATGCAAAATTAATTGTGTAGTGGAAAGAAAGAATGAAATATTTTCAGCTTTGATACATCACCTATTTATTGATTAAGTCTATGAAAAATCGTCGAGTATAGAGAGAGAAACACAAAGATTTGTTTATCATTACAGTAAATATAAAGTTATGTCATCTTTTCGAATTCTACTGATAACAAGCTTTCTAGTAATATAAAAATAATCATAAACAAAAGAAAAAAACATGACGATAATTATACTACATCGCAAATCGATTAAAATCAACTTTAAACTTTAGGAAAAAACAGTACATAAATGACTTAACCAAAAACAGAAACTGACTTAATCTTACTCGTAGAAAGAACAAAAAGTAGTCGGACGTTTTTTTTTAAGGATATCATATTTTTTTTTATGATTATTAAAACATGACTTGCCATTCTGATAAAAAAAAATCAAAGTAGCCTATAAACAATAGTTTTCACATTTGGTGTCTTCATATAAACATAAGTAATCGGACTAAAGACCCTGCATCTTCAAAAATCTCAAGAGACGAATCCCTAAAAACGCGTTGAATTGTCATTAAAAAAATTGAAAATAATGTTACGTAGTGAAATGAGTAAGTCTAGAAAAAATTCTAGGTGTTTACTTCACACTAACTCGGTTAAAAGGCTGTTCGTTATATTCGAGCGCATTCGTTAAACTCAATAACAGTAATAACGACGTACCGATATCTTATGTATATTTTATGATTGATAACGAGATTTAGATAAAATTTAAAACTGGTGCTCAGGTTGAACTTAGTTAGATGATGAATTGATGGGAAAATACATGAAAAAATAATTTACTCACGTTCAAGTCTTTTGATGACATGTTCAACTCCATTGTTCGATTTTTCTTTATTTGTTTGAAATGTTTGTTGAATCTGATGAATTTCATCGCCTGTTTGTTGTTTATAGACTTCGAATGATTGTTGTATGCGTTGAATCTCTTCACTTGCTTGTTGTTTGTTAGTTTCAGATGTTTGTTGAAGTTGTTGAATGGCTTCAGGTAATTGTTGCATTTTTTCAGTTACCTGTTGAATTTGTTCACCTGTTTGCTGTTTATTACCTTCAAAGTCTTTTCGGAGCTGTCGAAGTTGTTCTTTGAGACATATAATTTCTGTGTGTACAGTAGCAGCTTCACCTCTCTTGTAGGTCATATTACATTCTGGGCATATCAACTGGATCTCTTCACAACTATTGTCATGCTCAGTATAATTCATTTTCAATACTGTTGCATGACAACCACGACACTCTAGTGGTTTATACTGACACTCCAATTCATGCTTTTCGAGGTCGTCATATGGAACGACCTACGAAAAGAAATCAGCAATTAATTGATAAGAATTTTAATGTTTGATATATTAATTACCTGTTCACAACCGTGTGGTGAATTTTCACATTTGAAATGCAAACGAGAAAGCTGTTGTACAATTAATCGAGGACATTGTCGTTGAACAAATTCTCGACAATCATTTCGACATATTCCCGAGTTTTCTGCAAGCCATTGATTAATACAAGTTGAACAAAAGGCTATTTCACAATTCTTACACGCGATTGGTTGCCAAAGAACATTCTTACAAATATTGCATTTAAGATCATTAATTTCAAATTCACATGCACCATCGATGCGTTCAACTGGAAGACCTAGGTGTACAGTTTCCATCTAGAAAAGAAATCTGAACATTGTTATTACGTACATCAACTACGCAAATAGGCAGAATTGAGCAAATAAAGAATGAACTATAATGAATCGAACTACATATGTATTGATTAGTTTTTTGATTTTGCGATTGATGAAACTTAACCAAGCATGAATCAGAAGATGAATTTTCAAATTTTACGAAATTTTCGACATTATTTTTGCAAAATAAAACACTGCCTTAGTATGACAATGCAAACATGCGTGTTCTCTATATGTTCCATTTGTAAATTATTGTTACCTATGCTGCTAAAGAACCTACGACATCATAAAAATGGAGATTCAGAGCAAATAGTTTTATAGTAGAGCGTTTCATCTGCTATCTACCTAATACATATTGAGTTATTTAACATTTTTGCGAAGCGTATAATCCTTGCAAAGTATTATTCGTGTAATTTTGTCAGAATTTGTAAAATTTTTGTATTTCTCATGTTAAAATTAGCTTAGATTTTGTTGAATGAATCAACAGTGTTAGTGAAGCTAGGTTTGGATTCAAATACTTTCTAGAGAAGCTTGCACTAAAATCTGTTACAAAATTATTATACTTGTCACAAGTTAATACTAATATTTCACTGTGAGGGTCCTGAAGTCACTACACCAAATATATATGAGATTCGCCGATGGTCGAGGTATAAGTTTCAACGATTTTTTTCAATCATTGGTTATAACAGTACTTTGATGCATTAACTAGTTTACATATTATAAAAGGTCATACTAAAGAAAAGACTCAAATTCTTGCTCGGATTATCGTCTTCATCGAATAGGCGATTTTCACAGAAATTCAGAAATGTCATTCACTAATAACTGTTACAAAGACTACCGGTTTAAGTAAACATATATCATATAAAATGATGCTTCAACAAAAAAAAAAGCTCCGTGACAAGCTATTACTCGAATATCGAACATAATGTCTTGGACACATTAGAAGTTTGAGGTCTTCTATATTGTCTTATCATTTACAAGTTACAAGAGAGTGTTTTATGGTATACTTAAAAAAGGTCATATTTTTTTTATAACCTCCCTGATATTTTTTATGTTCGATTCATTTTAGCTCAATAAATCGTTAGTCAACGAGTTTATTTCACTTATTTCACATTCCGACCAAGTAAAAGAAACAGATAATATTCTGTGAGAAAAAAAAGAAGGGAAGAATCATTACTAATAAGAAGAGTATTCTTAGAACAATATAGTCAATGTAGTCATAACCATGATACCGTACAATATACAATAGCAGTATTTTTTTTCTAAATAATAACATCTATTACTGGTAATGGTTTATTTTCCACAATAGCTTAATAACTAACAGAAAGAAAATTAATTTTTTTTTTTGTCAAATTTATTTAAGTCAATTGCCTATGGTAGCGTTTGTCTAGTATAGATAGAATTCATCCACAGTGTGATATGTCACTCACATACTTATCAGCTTCAAGCTAACATGAATGAATACGGTTATCTACGAAAAACATTTCATAAAAAAACAAAGTAGTCACAGACGTATTTAGAGTTTTTTTTGCGTCTGTTTCGAAAAATATCTTCATATCTTTTTGTGAAAAAAAAATACGTTCTCAAACTTTAAAAAAAAATGTTTCGTAGATCACATTTTGACAGGTGTATCTCAAGGTATATTTTTCTCAATTATGAAAAAACTATTTTCTGATAACTAAGTTTGTGAACTCAATGAGATTTTACTGGCTATTCTCCGGTTTTACAAATAAGAAATTATTATACTGTTGGTTAGAGCATGTCGAGTTTAAATTTGAAATAAGTACTAGGATCAACTCTATTGAATAATACCTGAATTTGAATGTAACTTCGTTATACGTTTACGTACCTGGTATAATAAAATAAAATAAAGTTAATGTGTGTCAACACTTTGCTTATGTGCGATAATATTGCTTGATTTTACTTCTTTTCTTTCTTCTAGACAAACTATCGAAGATTTTATGCGTGTTTATGTGCGCGGTTATCTGCTTTTTGATAGTCGTATGAAGAATGCAAGTTTTTACCTCTTTTCATGTGCGCAGACCGCTAATCTGATAAGAGAGGTAGAGAATAAGCAATAACTTCTAGGTCTTTTACAACATTCTTCCAGTAGTAATACTTGAAAAAACCAGTCTCACCATCACTAGAAAACTTTCGATTATGCTTTTTTTTTTGAAGTATCATCAATTATATTTGATAATAAAAATAGCATAGCTATCGAACTCGAAGCTTTTCTTCATGCAAATAAATAGAATTCATAAATACTTACTTTGATATCAATAATGGCTTTGCATCACTTCAAATCTTCGACATTCACTGTTGATGTTAGGTCAAAATTACTAAATAATATATCTTAATATATGGATAGTTTATATTAGTGTCATTACAAAGAGTTTCACTATACCATAATGTACTTCATTGGAACTTGAGCTCATCGCATATATGAACACAAGTGAAATAACAAGCTATTCATGAATCGCATATTTCAGAAGAACATGTTTTTGTGTATTTTTTTTTTTTTGGTAAAAATATTATTTCAGACGTCTAAAATACTAGTTTGTCTCATATTGTTTTGATGAGGTATTTTCATTGCGTTCGGTTCGAAGCATATTTTCAATGGCCTTGCCATTGAGGAGATCATGTTAATGATATCTATGCAAAATATTTATTCGTATATACACACACTGTATGTTATTATCTTGTTTTTATAAAAAGCATATTCAAGTCCTCATAGCAATTTAGATATTGTCACTAAAGACGATAAAGTTTTCCTCATCGATTGAAAAACTTAAATGGACTACTGTAGATTTTCTCTTAGAAAATGTCAGAAGCTATTGATTAACAGCAAAGAAAATGGAAATATTTGAATATTTTAATGGTCATCCTATGTTGCGTACCGATCAGATCTTGTAGCTGTTTATCTGTCAAAACTTTGATTGTGTCTAGAAACGAACATGTTGCTAGGTAACAATTCGGTGGAATACGACTCACGTCTCTGAGAAATTCACAAAGAATCAATTATTCGTTCAATATTATACGTAACTCTTTGTCTGAACATGGGTATTATCCATAGAAACAACTCTCATTTCTTTGTTCGAATCTCAGCTGAATGATCGATTTCCATCATTATTTTAAAACTTATAATAGTTAGATTAACTAATCTAGGCTTGATGACTGTCTGTTAAAGTGAAAACTTTGTTTTTGAACCCTGAACATTTATCTCCGAGAATTTTTAACATACAAGAACTTATTTTTTGTTTTGAAAAGTGAGTGTACAAGTAAGTGAGGAAAATCATGTATAAAGGAACTATAAGAGAAAAAGCAGACAATAACTTCAAGTTCTTTTATTGATTTCATATACAGTCATTTATTTTATGATAAATTGATTCATAAAACACATGTAAAGGAAAGCGTGGAATAGGAAATCTAATGACAAAATCATTTGCGTCGCACTCAAACACTTTGTCTGAAATTCCAATAAATCATTGATGAGATCAATTATTGACTAGAATCATGCTTAGAATTTCATAATCTTAACAGATTGATGAGAACAGCCTAGGTGCATTTCTCGATTATCTTAGCCAGTCATTTTCACTTACTGTTGACTAAATTTACACAGATCCATTCGATTTATCTACAAGTACTGATGAATCATCAGATATGAATGCCCATCTTATTATCACTATGTGATAGGATATGTTAAAAAAAAGAACATAATTTATGATATGTGTAGAACAAGACTATCATGCTCTCTTATATTGAGTACTATTTGGTTCTAAATTGAATCGTTAGTCAATCGCAAAGACGAGTCAGTTTTTCGAACATGTTTTATGCACAAGTATCAACTCTTATGTCTAAGAAATTGACATTCAATTAATACATTCTTGAAGATGAGAGTAAGTCTAAGTAATTATGATTTCGATTACAATAACACTAAAACATCTAATCATATAACTTAAATGATATTTGAAAGAATGTATTGAAATATATAGTAAAGGCTTCTTAATGATATTCTATCATACATAAACTATACTTTTAAAATATTTTCTCGATGTACTTGTACGTTTTGAATTGACTTGAATATTATTTGACATGCTTAATTTTCAACAGAAAAACTTTTATTCTTCTTTTTTAAAAGTACCTTTATTGGTCAGAAATATATGGCAATCATCATTCAGATCATTTATAGTTTTCATGAGGCATTTTGTTTCTTTCAAATTGTTTTTGGAGTCCTTCTTTGTTTTCAGAATCATTATTGCTGACAGTTAAGTAGAAATGAAAACATGAATGTATTGATACTTTCACCTGTATGTACTACTACAAAAGTCACGTTGAATTCACAATACTAGGTCATGTTCAGTTATGATTGTAACTGTAGAAGAAAACGATCGTTTCTTTCTATATTCTTTTAACTCACTATCTTTTTTCTTTGCCCTTCATAAGAACGTTAATGAATATGCAAATATTGTAGTTGATGCAAAAAAAAGATGATTGGAATGTTTAGTTCTATAGTTTTTTCTTAGAAACTATTCCATTATATTTATGAAGTGACAGAATAACTTTTGCACTTTTTCTGTAAGGACATTGTCCTTCATTCGATCGGATGCTGAGCTAATTATTTATATCTTATCGAACAAATTTCACTTCATTGACTTGTAACTTTCTGATGCAATTTTACTTTTCATATTTTTTTTTATTTTTAAGATGTACAAAACATAGAATGTTTCTGAACCACAACCTGCTATCGTTGACAAATCAATTACCACAAAAACATTTAATATCCTTGTGGGATTACTTGTTCTGTTTTCAATTACAACTATTGTTCTTGGCGCGATCGCATTAGGTATTTTGATCAATCGTACAAATTCGAGAGATACAACAAATTCTCTCAATAATAGTGGACTACTCTCATTTGCTGATCAAATAAAAATTGTTGATCTACTGCATCACTTAGAACAACTTCAAGTAATTGCTGATCAAAGTAATGGAACACGAGCAATAGGAACTCGAGGATTTAATGGTACACTCGACTACATTACTAAACAACTAGAACAAAACACAAATTTAATTGTTCAACATGAGTATTTCATAGTTAAAAATTGTGCAGTTCAAGGAACACCGCAACTACAATCTCAAATTAATGGCCTTGTCGAAGATCATGTTTACTTGACAGATTTTACTCACATTTATTTACGCCTGGAGCCAATTTCGATTCCTTTGTTCGATTGGTACCGATTCCAAATCTTGGTTGTCAAAAGTCCGATTGGATGAATGTATCAGTGACAGACTCTATCGCTTTAGACAAACGTGGAGTTTGAACATTTCCAGAAAAGACCCAATTAGCAGAAAAATACCGTGCAAAAGGATTGCTCATGTACAACGATGGAACTGCATCAGATCGTTTTCAAGCGGTTCAGTATGTAAGAAGTCATCCGAATGCAACGATTCCAGGCTATTTTTTGTCGAATAACTTAGAAATGAAGTTTGTTAATGTAGCATCCAATGCGAGTGCGAATGTCGGAATAAAAATGATAATTGATGTACGCGATGCAGATGTCGGAAATATTTGTGCTGATACACCAACACGGACTAAAACTCAAACAATTGTTGTCGGATAGCACAATGATGGAGTGTTAGATGGAAGTGGAATCAATGACAACGGTAAGAAAAATGTCGGTAGACTAATGTCTTATAGTCATCTCACAATCATAGACTATGAATATTAGTCGTTACCAAAAAAGATTATTTTCTGTCATGTAACGCGTTTCTTTGTTTAACCAACCTCTTTAGTATGGTCCATGAACTGGAGGAAGAGAGAAGCTAATTTTTTCTCAGAAATTATTTATCTTGAATAATTAGTTTATCTTTTTTCATTACTATTTAGGTAGTGGTACAGTTGGTAACTTGGTTTTAGCTCTTAATTTAGCTCGTCTATTTGAGACAACTTCGTTAAACTATGCTCAATTTCCATATCATGTTCGATTCTGTTGATGGGGTGCAGAAGAATTCGGTCTTCTCGGTTCTATCTATCATGTTGAACAAGCATCGTTGCCTAGTGCTACTACCGAAAGTGGGCGTCTACAAGATTATTTAGTATATTTCAATTATGATATGTTAGCTTCTCCCAATAGTAATTTTGGTATTCTTGACAGTTTATCCGTTCCACCGGGGACACCCAACAAGACTCTACCCGGTACTGACCGCATTACGAATTTGTTTCAGCAATGGTTTAATGAACAGAAACTTCCGTGGACCAAATCGGGGATTGGAGGTGGTAGCGATTTTGTATCATTTTTGACTGAAGGCATAGCTTCTGGCGGCGTAAATACAGGCGCTGGTGGGTTCAAGTCAGCAACTGAGCGAGATCAATATGCAGCACTGTTAGGAACAGGAAATGGTGGATTAGCCAATGTTGCATATGATTCATGTTATCATCAACAATGTGATCGGATAAATAATGTAAACTCATTTGCGTATGAAAAAGTTGTTAAAGCAGCTGCTTAGGCTATTGAGTATATGGGAAGATTGAGAGATTTGGAAAAATGACTTTATCCAGAAGGACGAGTGAAGAATGTAAACCCTCTCAAAAAAAACCATGTCTATAATATTCATTATGATCCTGATCTGTTTTGAATATGACTGAACTAGTCGTGACATCCTCTAGCATAAACTACTTCAAAAAAGTCTAATGAAATGTTTGAAGATTTTTATTAAATACTGACTAACATCGGCCAAATACAATCTACTATTTGTAAAAAGACACATCAAACTAAAATATAAATTTTAACTTAATGTTCAGTGCTCAATTTCAAAACGTATAATAAGTTAGATGTTGCGCTTTTTTCTTAACACTGATTCTTATGAATAGCATATTAGCATATAAGAATAAATATATTTGTCTTTCGAACAGTCCTCTCTTTTGCTGTAAGTTAACAACAATTTGTTTGAGATCATATTTATTTATTCTTTCCTAACCAAACGTCTTCACCCATGTTAACAGCTCAGCTTATCATACAGAAGCATTCATCTGTAATTACAATCACTGGTGATTTTCTATTCATACAAAAGCCTAATATGAATTATAATTTCACAAATAGGTAATTATGTATCATTTTAAAATTTCTTATATCTATAGAGAAAATACGAACTTGAAAACATCAATTCTAAATCATATAAGCATTCCTTATACATTCATTCAAGTTTTATAAGCTTTATTTTTAGTTACATGAATTTTTACATAAGTCATGTATTTTTTCGACAAGTCAATCGTCTCGTTTTGTACAAAACATGAATCAAAGATTGATTAAATTTTGATTGTCTTCTGTAGTAATCTCTCCTTGAATTGTTTCAATATTTGCTGCTAATCGCTGCTTAAATTTCGATGGAGCACCGACAGTAACACTAAAAGTTAGATTTCCAATAGTGAACAACCGAACAGGTACCGGTGAACTATTATTAACCGGTTGTGATTCAGATGAATCAGGAGTGTTGTTGTCAACATTCGTCAACAAAGCAGTTGTTTCACCAACTATTGATGATGATGATGATGATGTATTCGACAGGCGATATTTGATGACATAGAGACATCTATGTAATGAGATTAAACAAAAAAATATATTTTTTTTCTGTACCATTCAACTTACATGCTAAGAATCAATGTAATAAGACCAAATCCACCAGATACAAACAGAATTATATTTTTGTGTTGATATGTTGTATTCATAAAGATCCATTTGAAAAAATAATCACCAAATGATGTAATCAATTGATTGATGACAAAGATAAATATAAATGCAATATTAATTTCAGTTGGTTTCAACCATTTTGCTAATATCGATAGAGTCAATGGGTTTTGATAGTTAGCAAACGAATAGAATATACTATTGCTAAATACTTGCCAATTATGTTGTGCAAATGCTGTCCAAACATGTGTTATGAGCAAGAAAGCATTACTGATAGCACAGATTAGAATATCATTTGCTTTTGTCAATCTAGCTAATATATGATAACCAATAATACTGAAAATTCCAAGACATATACTCATTATTAGTTTATAGATATTAATTAACATCGATGACCAACAAATAGGATATGTGGTAAGTGCTATGAAAAATGCTGCGATTACTGAATTCGCTAAAGCATAAAAACCATAAGCAATTAGAGTCAATAAAACACCGATTTTTTGTTGAGTAGTTCGATGATTTCCATAGAAAATAATGAATATATCAAGATTTAGATTAAATCGATTCTTAATTTTCATGTTCGTATGATTATAGAGAGTTAAATCAAAATATCGAATAATAACACCAATTGAGATTAATTGCAAAATAAGTGCAAACCAAAATAGTCCAATATAACCATAATGTTGAACAAAACAATAAATTGAAAATGTTATTAATCCTGCCAATATATTTCTTAGTGCATAAAAACGAACAAACCACAATGATCGATTATTCACAGTCGTTAAATCGACAATAATCAAAGCAATGACAAAATCTAGTGAAAAAAAAAATTAATCCATCCTTTCACCTCTTTATATTCATTACATACCTATAATACCCGGATTACCCAATAAACCTAATATAAAACCACTTAAATACCACCAGTAGATTTCTAGATTCAAATAAATGATTGCTAGAGCAATCATCATTTGAATAGTAATACCTACCATGGGCAATATGAGTACGAATTGTTTACCAAGAAACGGTATTGTCATACCAAGTGCACAAGTCATTATGATTCCTGATAAACTATTGGCGATATTTCTTCGATAGACAATTTCATTTCGGTTAGATTTTGGAGTCAATCCGTGTGTTGAAGTGTCATTGTCTATTTGAGGACATGTTTCATTATCATTTTGAAAGACATCATTCAATATGTTTTCATTATGCAACGTACTACAATTTATGTTTGATGCCAATTGTAATGAACTAACGTATGTATCAATAGATAAAATAACACAATAACAAAGTGTCTGTAGACATATGATGGCTGTTATATTGAACAGATTCATTCTCACTCGATTTTTCAAAGGACAACGCAAGTTCTTTATGAAGGTAAACATTGTTGAACTCGAATCGATTAATTCAAATTGTCAATTTTGATGCGAAGACAAACTATTTGTCAACGACGAAATTCAAGGTATGACTTTTTTAGAACTACGTTTATAAATATGCATCGATCACAGGATGAAAAAGAAAAAGCACTGATGAAAAGAAAAAAAAACACCTGTGTCTATTAACAGTCTTGACAAATTGATTGACTCTGTAATTGGCGATGTTAACAAATATATGATGATTTTTATGAAGCATGACGATATTTTTTGTTAGGTTTTCGTTTTTTTTTCACATGCCGTTATTTGCTGTAAACCAGCGACAAACATGAAACTGAAAAAAAAAGAAAATACAATCTTTACCATCGCCGTTTAATTACGATGTTTTTTATTGAACGATGAGCATCAATATGGAAAGAAATTATAATGACAACGGACTTGATTCGGTGCATGATCTAAGTGATTTCAAATCCTATGATGAGGACTGTAGTTCACCATCATATACAGTAATCAGTGTCGAGCAAATTAAAGCTATAACAAGAACTCACTACAACCAAGAAAGGAAATAAAACTATGAACAAAGTGATTTATTACTTAATATGAGTAAATTACATGTTGAATATCACTTGTTTTGATCTGATTAAAAGTATATTCAAAACAGAAGACATTTTGTAATGTCGTTGTTACTTTACAGTGATGATATTGCGGTTAAAATAGATGAAAGTTACTGCTTTCGTACGTAGAAAATAAAAAAACAAAAAACTCTGATATATCATTGAATTGAGTAAACAGTATGATGACATCTATTCTAACCGATGGAACAGAAGTTCTGAATTTAATTTTGTTTTCCATACAGCACTCAAACGGAACGACGTAGAGAATTGATTGTCTATGTTCTTTTTTTGTTAGAAAGAGTAAAATATCTACTGTAAAAATGAGTCAAACAATGTAATTCGGAATGTTTTTCTTCTGAGATTTGAAAGATATGTGTAATCAAATTCTTTTATATACTTTTTCACTAGATATTTTGCTTTTTCTAACAAACAAAAGAATACATTTTCTAGGATTTCGCATTGAATTGCTATATTAAAAACAAAATTATTGTATGTCTTGTACTCCACTCGATATAATTCAGATGAATGTTGAAATCAACCATCATGACTATTCTCAATTATCTCATTTCGATTTTATCAATTTTTTCGATGTAATACAAATTAATAGATGAAAATTTTATTAGTCAATATCAAGTTTGCTTCAGCTGGTAAAAATTCAACTCAATCGTAGTGAAGAAACAGACAAGTACTCAATGATTCAATGGAACTGAGAAATTGGTTGAATCAAAAGAAAAAATTTTGAACCTCAGCATAAATCTTCGAATATTATTGACAGAGATCTTTCTTCATCACAAGATCATTAGATCAGCCATATCATTTTCTTGAGTAAAAATTTGTCGAAATTGTTTAGGAATGTATAGACCAAATGAATATTATTTGAAAGAAATTTAACGAAAAAGAAGATGTAGAAACTAGATGTTGTAGTTGGTTAACTTCAAATTATTTTTTATCTAGACTATAATGCGGTAGGAAACATCCCCATGAATAAACTAATGTAAAAATGTTAACGTAGTCTAATCTAGTTTATGGCTAGCTATTGGTGGTCGTGTGCCATCTACAACATATCAAATAAATAAACAAAATTTTTTCAAGCCTTTCTTCCTAAAACAAAGTTGTAAAATATTGATCTTGAATGAGCTAAACTGTTGAAGTTTCATCCGATGAAGGTTCTAATGAAAAAAGAAAAACATAAAATAAAGTGGAAAACGGAATCATTAACAATAAAATCAAAACATTTTCTGAAAGAATTCTTTTTTTCTATCTCGTTTAAAAAGAACATATATGAGAATATAAAATATGAAATCAATCAGTATTATTTTTAAAAGAACATTGTTAATAGAGAAGAAGAGCAGGATGTGGGTGTGGTTGTCAGTACGAGTGTGAATGTGGGTAAGTTGATTTTCTCTTCAGTCATACCTATATTCATACTCCCGCACCATACATCCAAACTCACTCACTCTCACACCCACACTCTCAGAAAAACATGTTAATCAGTACTTTCAAAGAACTGGTTTGTATAATATTTCAATGTGAGAACTCAGACTTCCTTTTTTTTCACATTCATTCAGGACATATTTCCTTTTATTAATCATGTGGAGCAAGTGTTCCAATACTGTGCTAAAAATTGATGAAATCATTCAGCGAAAAGAATTTTATTTGATGATGCGGAACCATTCAAAAAAGAAAGATATAAAATTGAAAGTCAGCAAATCTGCTAATAGTTTTTTTCGAACAGCTTTTATAGTTTTGATAGTAGAAGTATAAGTATTGATTCCCTTTTAGTCTTGTTGAATTTTATCCTCCAAAAACGGGCCCTGCTGATCCTGCCGGTAATGTTGGTGGTAGCTGTGGCCCTATAATCTGTCGCGGTTGATGAAGAGTGTTGACTATTTTTTCTGATACAGGTAATATCTTTTTGTTTTGTTCGTTGGCAGGTTTGAACATCGAACTCGATAAAGTGTTGATATCGACTTCTGCATTGTTCGGCGTCTTCTAAATACATTCGTTTAAGTTTATAGAACTTCCTTTGACAAAAAACTTCTATTTCATAGACTTACATCATTATCAGTCATATCAACTGTTTTCGTTGTCGTTTGATTTTCATTATTCTCCTCTGCAATGAGATCATTGTCGGTTAGATTCAAGGTATCTAGGAGCTGCAACTTCGAATTAAATATTTGAAATTTTCAACGTGTTGAAAACATACTTGACCAGAGTGAGCAGCTTCGCTCCATTTATCTGGATTCAATGGCTGTACCTTCTGAGGTATTTCGAAACTTGAGCCGAACAAGAATATGACTATCAACATCAATGGAGGAAAAATTAAACCCATGTCTAATCACCGTAGTTAATATTTTGAAAATTTGTTGAGTAAAATCACACAACTCAGTGCCGTATTTATACAGCTATTATAGTGAATACATAGCCAATAAAGTTTAATATAAAATTTTATTATTACATAATTGAATCATAATACTTACCTAATTATAGCGGTGTTTTGCAATCAATTTAGCATGATAGTAGTTCCTGTTAAATTATATTTATTAGATTATTCGACTATAAATAAAAAACACAAATATAATGTAAATCACTAAAAAGCCTCATTAATCATGGCTCCATGGACAGAATCAATAAGAAACGAAAAAATTTTTACTGCATGCTTTTTTTAAGAAAGTCCTGTTTGTCGATGTGCCGACACTAGAAGACCACTTCCTATACCTCTAATCAAGTACTGTGTAGGCAGAATCTTGTACATGTGAATTACATTATCTTACGCATACACCCTTACAAAATTGAAAATATGCAAATGCTGAAAATTCTAGTGAAAAAATGAAGAGCATTGCTTTTACTGTTTTTCATACTTTTTATGGCAGATGTTTCGATTTGTCTCCGACAGTGCCAATAAAGATGTTGTTTTTGACTTCATTCACTTCAGAGATTCTATCATCCGTTTTCATTATGGCAACACCGCTGCAGAAATCAGTCGGGAATTCGATGTTTAAACGAACACTATCGTCAGTTCCTTCATCTACACAACCACTTATTGGCAAATCAATTGTTCAAAGTCTTATCTAAGTATTCGTTTAAGCCTAAAAGATGCATCTAACAACTTATATTAATAATGGCAAAGATGCCCTTAAGAAGATACTTTTCCCATTTCATATTAATAAATTGTATTGCTTATTTTACAATAGCAATTGATCATCATAATCTTGATTCATTAGTAATCACCTATTAGCTACTGAATCAAGTATTTGCGTGAGATCTATGAGATAAATATTAGTGTCTTTCACAAGAATCATTATTTGAAATTATCGATCGAATCTATAGGAAATTGACCACTTTTCTGAAAGTACAGTTGTCGTCTTTTTTGATTTCTCACTAGGACAATCTCGGATGAAGAAAAAATTTGTTTTTTGGACTGATAAATGCCAAAATCTAACTCATTCTTTAGGAACGTCTTAGCATACAAATGTGTGGGGTAGTTTTAACGAAACAAACTGAAATGGATTGTAATTTGAACCATAGATTAACTTATGGTGGCAGCAACGAAAATAATGTTCCCACTCAAGCTCAGCTTCCATTGGATCAATTGATTTCGGGTTGATATCTTCAGGATGTGAATATTCATTTCACTCACATCTACAAAGGGACTTTTTGAAGAACAATCAAGAAACATGAGAAAGCGAGTGGCAAATAAATTCTGAATAAAATATATTCCAAAGAAAATTATAGTTGAATTCCAGAGTTAGCAATACATTGCAAATATTCATAAACAGAATCCACGAGTAATATATAATTTCACGCATGAACCGAGAGCAATTTTATGTTAATTATGAGAGTCAAAGTTGATGAAATATGATCTCCATAGGTGATATACGACATAAGAGTGAGTATGGATTTTCTCTAGACTTGCATTCTCATCGCTACTCGAGTAAGAAAGCCTCTATTCGAGTGATTAGCAGTTGTTCTTAAGTTACTTGAATCATTTTTCACTTGGATTTAGATCTTCTCAATATATGTAATATTTAACTTTGAGTTAAGCATTTCCTGCACAACTTTATTTCT